CCGGGACAAGCCCTATAACGAAAGCTAGAGTAGTTCCCCGGCCCGGGTTGTTTCTGCCTTCTTTAGAATCAATCCCCTCTTTTCCCACCGCCGCCGCTCCAGAATGTTCTACAGATGAAATCCTTACCGTGTGTAATTGTTCTGTTTGGGGTGTACTTAGGTAAGCAATATTGCTATATTTGTTTCCACCTCTGGTACTTTTGGGACAATTTGTTGAGTAGGAGCCTGGAGGGAGTAAGGGGGAAAAAGCACCTGCTGGAGGAGCCCCGCATTTTACACACAAAGTCCCACCCATCACCCGGATCACTTTATAGGTGGTTCCTGCCTTGCCCCAAGGAAGTCACCCTTGGGGTGCTCCTCTGCCTGGAGTCAGGCGGGCTGACAACACTGGGTGCCTAAACCTTAGGAGGGATTTTCTCTACTGTGTACCTTGTTAGAACTGGACGCATTCCCTTCCAAGCCCCCATCTGAATACAGGCTGAGCTCACAGCCCTTTCCTGAAATGCCCTCCTGGTCTATCTTCCAAGGGATGCCCACCGACCTGTCAGCTGTGTTCTCTCTATCCGGCTATGGGGCCCTGCTTTCCTGTCTGAATGGCTGGGTGCTAGCCCTCAGACTCCACCTGGAGAGCTGCCCATCCATGCTGACGGATGCCCCGCCCCCACTTGACCTTGTCACTCTTCTTTATCTTACCACTCCTGTCTCATGCCTCAACTCCTTCTTGTATGAAAAAAATCTCTATTCCACCCTTCTCTAACAAAAATCACTTAGATTTTTGGCAAGCATATAAATGGTGAGAACACGCCTAAATGTTAGTTTTCAATATATTCTCTCCACAAAATGAGGTTCTGGCTGAGCCTCCGCCAGCAGTGCTGGCATCCCATATGGGCACCGGCTCATGCCCCAGCTGCTACACTTCTGATCCTGCTTTCTGCTTGAGACCTTGGAGAGCAGTGGAGGAAGGTTCAAGTTCCTGGGAGGAGCCCCTGGCTGGGAGGAAGCTCCCGGCTCCTAGCTTTGGATCAGCTCAGCTCCAGCTGTGGCAGTCTTTGGGGGAGTGAACAAGCAGATGGGAGATCCTTCTCTCTGTTTGCCTCTCTCCTTCTAATTCAGATTTCAAATAAAAATGAATTTTTTAAAAAGTAAAATGTTTTATTTATTTATGTAGGGGAGGGAGAGACAGAGTGAGTAAACTCCCATCCAATGACTCAACTCAGCAAATACCCTCGATGGCCAGGGCGGAGGGAACTCAAGCTGGCAAGGACCCAACCACACATGCCATCCAAGAAGGCACACTGGTGAGAAGTCATGGCTTAACCCTAGGCACTCTGACATGAACGAGGGGCTGGTGCTCCACCTCTCTCACAGGCCGAACGGCTGCCCCGGCTTTTCTCCTCTGCGAGGGGTACTGCGGTAGGAAGTTAGGCAAAGGGCTGTGCCACTTTCACTTGTGCTTATTAAATTATCTTTAGTCTGCGGTTTATTCACAAGGCTCATTTGATAATCCTCAAAAACACTTAACCACACAGAGATAAACTGCAAACCACTATCAAATACACTGAGTTACTCTCCTACTTCTCCTTCACTGTGTCTAATGTGCTGGGCTGATTTTACGACAGACAGTGATGGCTCCAATGCCGGGCCCGGCACAGCAGCCTAGTGCCTAAAGTCCTCACCTTGCATGTGCTGGGATCCCATATGGGTGCCAGTTCATATCCTAGCTGCTCCACTTCCCATCCAGCTCCCTGCTTGTGGCCTGGGAAAGCAACAGAGAATGACCCAAAGCTTTGGGACCCTGCACCCGCGTGGGAGACCCGGAAGAAGCTCCTGATCACCTCACCCTGGCCATCGTGGCTACTTAGGGAGTGGACCAGTGGATGGACGATCTTTCTGTCTCTCCTCCTCTCTGTAAATCTGACTTTCCAATAAACATATATAAACTTTTTTTTAAAAAAAATCAGATATCCTTTTCCAACAAAGTGTATAAATCTTTTAAAATAAAATGAAGGTATTTCTGTGATCATCTGTAATTCAGAATGTTGGTTTTGTTTAGGAGAAGGTGGGGCAGAGACGGCAGGCAGGTGCTTTCCCACCTGCTGGCTCATTCCTTGTCAATTATGAAGTATGTGAGTCACTAATGGTACTCTCCCTGTGTGAGCAGAAAGCTGGAATTAGGAGCCAAAGCTGGGAACCAAACCCAAATACGCCAACATGGGACATGATCATCTTAACTGATATCTTAGCTACTACGTCAAGCATGATCTTTGTACAGAATACCTTGGTAGTTGAACATTTTTTGCATAGAATTTGAACTTTCATCATTTTAAAAAGACTAACCCTATAGCAAATTCTCCACAACCCAGACATTACTTAATGAAATCATTTTTTTCATGGTTTTTGAGCACCATTTAACTTTATGTGTACTGTTTATTTTAAAATTTACCAAATTGTGAGGCTGACGCACTAGTGTGGTAGGCTAAGCTTCCGTCTTTGGCTCCAGGATCCCATATGAGTGCCAGTTTGTGTTCTAGCTGCTCCATTTCCAATCCAGCTCCTGTTTATAACCTGGGAAATCAGCAGGGGATGGCTCAAGTTCGTGGACCCATGCACCCATGTAGGAGACCTGGAGGAAGTTCCTGGCTCCTGCCTTCAGATCAGCTCAGCTCTGGTTATTGCGGCCAACTGGAAAGTGAACCAGCGGATGGATGATCTCACTCCTTCTCTGTAACTCTACCTTTCAAATAAAATGTATCTTTTTCAAAAAATAGCAAATTGTATATTCATTTCCCTCTGTTCTCACATTCTGGCTCTTTCCTTTTATGTATCTTAGTATTATGTTCTTCCTAGTGACTCAGTACAGCACTATCAAGTTTCCAATAATTAGTGTACCTTTTATTTCCTTTTTAAAAAAGATTTATTTAGGGCCTGGCGGCGTGGCCTAGCAGCGAAAGTCCTCACCCTAAATGCGCCAGGATCCCATATGGGCGCCAGTTCTAATCCCAGCTGCTCCGCTTCCCATCCAGCTCCCTGCTTGTGGCCTGGGAAAGCAGTCGAGGACAGCCCAAAACCTTGGGACCTTGCACCCATGTGGGAGACCCAGAAGAGGTTCCTGGATTCTGGCTTCGGATCGGCACAGCACCAGCTGTTGCAGCCGCCTGGGGAGTGAATCATCGAACGGAAGATCTTCCTCTCTGTCTCTCCTCCTCTCTGTATATCTGACTTTGTAATAAAAATAAATAAATCTTTAAAAATTTTTTATTTTTTTATTTTTATTTTTCTATATATGCACTCACTGTTTTTAAAAATATCTTTTCTATTATTAAGAAAACTTAGGCTACAGCTTCATTTTAACCTTTTTAAAAGAGTTATCTATTTGAAAGGCATAGTGACACAGAGAGAAGACAGAAAAAAACAAAGATCTTCCATCTGCTGGTTCACTGCCCAAATGACTGCAGCAGCTAGAGCTGGGCCAGTCTGAAGCCAGGAGCCAGGAGCTCCATCCAGATCTCCTGTGTAGATGGCAGGACACTTGGGTCACTGTCTTCTCCCTTCCGGGCACTTTAGCAGGAGACTGGATCAGAAGCAGAGATAGGGCCCGGCACCATGGCTTGATTGGTTAAACCTCTGCCTTGCAAGCACCAGGGTCATTTAAAAATGTTTAGAGAATAAAAGCAGAAGTAAATGCCTTTCACTTTCTTAATATCTAATTAAAACAGAAAAGATTTCTTTTTATTTGAAAGGCATATTTACAGAGAGAAACAAACACAAAGAAAAGGTCTTCGATCTATTGATTCACTCCCCAGATGACTGACTGCAATAGACTGAGCTGAACTGATCCAAAGCCAGAAGCTGGAGGCCTCTTCCAGGTCTCCCCCTGCATACAGGATCCCAAGCACTTGGGTCATATTCCACTGCTTTCACAGAATATAAGCAGGGATCTGGATTGGAAGTGGAGCAGCAAGGACACAAACTGGCACCCAAACGGTAATGCTGGCACCATTAGATTGTTGAGACACAGTGCTGGCCTCCTTACATCTAAATTTTTTTAAAGATTTATATATATATACATATTTTTTTTTGAAAGGCAGAGGTACTGAGGAAGAGAGAGATCCTTTGTCTGCAGTTCATTCCCTAAACAGCCACAACAGCCAGTACTAGGTTGATCCAAAGCCAGAAGCCTGAGCTCCCTCCAGACCCCCAACACGAGTGCAAGTCCCGAGGCTCTGGGCTATCCTCCACTGCTTTCCCAAGTCAGCAGAAGGGAGTCAGAAGCAGAGCAGCTGGGGCTTGAACTGGTACCCATACAAGATGCTGGTGCCTCACGCAGAATGCCATGGCACCAGTCCCATCATTTTTCATCTTAAGTTAATGTGTATATGTACAATGAGAGAATAATTGTGAATCTGATATGTGTTAACTTGATGATGCACAGTATGAATTAAGCTGATTTTCATTTCCTTGCTTTTGGTGAAAACACTATTTTTTTATGTTAGCTTTCTCTCAGCCCCTTAGTAGATGAAGAATGTGGGGTCCTACAACAAACAGGGTTCTATTTTAAATCCAAACAGAGTAAAGACACCCAGCTAGGCTAACAGACTACTGGCGATGTTACTCAACAAGATGCATCCTCAGATGCTGGGGTTTCCACTGTGGTGCAGCCCCAGGCTGTAATGCTCTCCCTAACTCAACTGCTTTGACATTGGGCAACAATGTGATAACGAGTGAACTTGCCAATGATTAGCAGAATTACAAAATGAAGCCAAGGTCACTTAATCAAAGGTCACAGCAGCAAAGAAACCCTCGGAATGCAGGTCAAGGCAAGAGGCCACAGCTGGCCAGATAGGACCCCATTTGCCTGGCTTCCATATAGGCTTCACCCCCAGCAGATAATGTGTCTCCTTTGAGTCTAATGGGAAAACCGCTGTTACCCATGACCATGAAATCATTGTGTGAGAGAAAGATGAAAAGAAAAATGTTTTTAAAAATATCAAACAATCTCATATGTTCACAATAAAAGCTTTATTTTCTGAGTGTAACACACAACTCAGTATGTGCTAAAGGAGCAATTCATACAGCAGGGCTTTTGACCTATTACATGTTCTAAGGGAAAGACTGAGTGTCTTTTCATCTTGCTTTAACATCAAATGAGACAGGACCCCTTTAAGGTTGAGCAAGAGTCCAGGGTGACCAGACTGCACCACCTACCACCTGGCTTCTCTTCAGGAGAAACAGTACATCACAAACAAGCATCTTCTTGAGCTTTTGAGGAAGAACATGGGAATTCACACACACCTGGCATGGTGGTGGCGTAAGACAGCTCTTCCTCCTCTTCTATTTCAACAGATGCTTCAGCTGCTCCTGCAGTTCCGAGGACTGTTCAACACTGGAAACCAGAGCAGAGACCAGGCCTTTGCTGAAGTGTGCAATAAAGGGATCTCTGTGCTGCTTGGACCTTGGTGCGTCCGTGCTGCTTGCTATAGCTAGGGGCCAATGGCACACTGAGCCACCCAGGTCCTACAAATTTTCAAAAACTACCAAGCAAGGTGTGCAAAGCCAGTTAGTAGTGTCAACAAGGTTACAAGGGACAAATTTAATCCACTTAAGAAACAATGCTGTGAGCAACTTTGGCACATGTATTCAATTGAATCAATTCCTTAAGGTTGAATACTTTAGCTTTTGGAAAGACTTCACAGCAGTGACGACAGCTGCTGTAGGCCTTTGAAATACACTGCAGTCTATAAATCCCAAATAAGCAGGGCTGACGCAGTGGCATAGCAGGCCACTTGTTCACGCCAGCATCCCGTGTGGGCATCAGTATGTATCCCAGCTGCTCCACTTCCAATCCAGCCCCCTGCTTATGGCCTAGGAAGGCAGCAGAGGTGGCTCAAGTCCTTGGGTTCCTGTAACCATGGGGGAGACCTGGAAAAAAGTTTCTGGTTCTTGGCTTTGGATTGATTCAGCTCTGTCTCCTTTTCTCGGTAATTCTGCCTTTCAGATAAAAATAAAATAAATCTTAAAAAAAAAAAAAGTCCCCAATGAGCTATGCCCAAACATATGTCAATTCAAGGGCATATGTCACTCAGAGTTTGGCAGTGACTGAGTGCAACAGTTGTAACTGCCTCTAATCTGCGTCAGTAGGTTCTCCCAAAAACCTTAGAGTTTACTCACTCCTACCTTGGCGGTTACTTACTTCTTTTGAATAGCTTCTTGCCTAATTCAGAAAAGAGAAGAAGAAATAAACACAGGGAAACTCAGTGAATTGGTGGAAGTGATTTCTGGCCAGAGATAAACAAGCAGAACAAATTTCCAACTTGGGTCACATTCTGTATTCCTGCTCATCCTATCCAAAGACTGCTCTTGAATGAGAATTCCTACGGGAACACAGAACTGATGCCAGGATGGGCTCTAAGTCTGAAGAGGTTAATAACCCTCCCAGAGTGGGCATTGTGCTCCAACAAACCACGTGCCTGGCTCAGGTACAGTCTGGGTAAGATGGAGCCAATTGTCCACAGTCCTGGTAAGTACACACCTGAAGAATGAACACGGTAAACAGTAGCTATTTAAACAGCAAGAGCTGGAACCAGCAGAACGGCTTAATGGCTAAATCCTCCCCTTGCAAGTTGCAGGGATCCCATGCTGGCACTAATTTGTGTACCGGCTGCTCCACTTCACATACAACTCCCTGCTTATGGCCTGGGAACGCAGGGGAGGATGGCCTAAAGCCTTGGGACCCTTCCTGGCTTCTGGCTTCAGATCAACTCAACTCTAACCACTGTGGCCATTTGGGGCGTGAACCAGTAGGTGGAAGATCTTTTTCTCTCTCTTCTCTCTGTAGCTTTTCCAATAAAAATAAATAAATGCAGGAGCTAAATGCCCAATCATATATTTCCAAGATGTTATATGCAAACATGACATCAATTAGGTAAAATATAAAACAAAATCAAATAAAAAGCAATTAGGAATGATCATTATATCCAAAATCACACTGAGAAAAGGCAGTCTATTTCAAAATTTCCAGGATGATTTACATGTAGCCAGTGCTGTGTCACACATGGAAACATGGGACAGAGAATAACGTGAGGTTGGATGCCCCAGGACGGGCCTGGGACACACACAGCTCATCAGAACTAAGGAAGCATCTCCCAGCTGCCCAGCACAGGGCCTGGCAGCCCGCTCCCGGCCTGGGCTCTGTCCTTAGGTGTTTCTACTCTCTCCCCCAGAGCCTCTCTCCAGGGAACACAGGGAGGCTCACCAGGGCGGCTTCTGCTCTGCCCCCATCTCACCCCTACCCCCAGTTCCCGGCCCCGCTCATCCTGGCACACGACGGCGAAGCGGAGGACACACACACTCACTGGTACTGAAGATGTGTGGTGATGATGGCCATTTTCCTCAAACTCTGCAGGGAAAGAAAAAGAGAGACTGTTCTCCTTCACCGTAAGCCACACCAACCATGCATGTAAAATCCACGTCACATGGAAGCTGGTCCTTACATCCTCTGAGTGCAAGATGGAATCTTCCTGCAGGACCATGTTGCGAGCCGCCTGACCCAGCAGCTGGAAGACAAAAATCAAATGGTGACCATCGAAACTTCCCAGCTGTCTGCCATCTTCTCTCTGCACTGTTACACCACCGCCCCGCTCTTCCTCCACTCCTCCCCCTGTACAGCCACACGTCCTCACAAGGTTTCTTCACCTTGAGAACACCTATGGATTAGCTCAGCTCCGGCTGTTACAGCCACTTGGGGAGTGAACCAGTGGACAAAAGATCTTTCTGCTTCTCCTCTCTCTCAATCTGCCTTTCCAATAAAAATAATAAATACACCTTTTTTAAAAAAAGCAGCAGCAGCAAGCAAGCTCCTTTCCCTGGCACTTGGGTGATGGTGGTGTGGGCTTGACTGATGGTTATCACGGTCAGGAGGAAGGCGGAGCTTGCTTCCAATCAAACCAGGAACAGATGACGGAATTTTGGCTGGCCCCTCTGGCTGTGAAACCACCGCTGCACCAATGAGGGGCACAAACCCATATCCCCCACCAAATAAGGGTTGAGGTAACCCCGTTTTGGCTTCTGTGTCAAGGAGAGTTTATACAGGCCCTTCCCGTCTCTTTCACACTCTTTTTCCTTTGCAGCCTTCAAACTTCATGTCTTTCTGCTGCATGGGGAAGGGAAGCCCGTGATCTAAATTCCTTTTATATATCTGACTGAGTTATTCTTCCCCTGGGGGTGAGTGAATCTAACATTGACAACTGTGGTGAAAGTCGCCACCAGAGCAGATTGGGGCTGGCACCTGCTCAGCTCCGTGCCACCTGCTCCTCTGGTGCCAACATGAGCACATACGGCAACGTCGCTCCGTGGATCTAGCTGAGGCCCTAACTTCTCATTCTTGGAAGGAAGGATGGGGCTGGATTTGAAGGAGAGGGGGAAAAGGAGTTTGGCAGGGTTGAAAAGACAACCCGGGGTGGGGGAAGACGATCCTAGCTGATTAGCAGGATGGCTCCATTAGCTAAATGCTCCCCTTAGACAAGCACCGGGATCCCATATGGGTGCTGGTTTGTCCTGGCTTCTCTACTTCCCATCCAGCTTCCTGTTTGCAGCTTGGGAGAGCAGTGAAGGAAGATTTATTTTATTTTTATTGGAAAGTCAGATATACAGAGAGGAAGAGAGACAAAGATCTTCCATCCAATCATTCACTCCCCAAGCGGCCGCATCGGCCGCAGCTGAGTCAATCTTAAGCAAAAACCAGGAGCTTCTTCCGGGTCTCCCACGTGGGCGCAGGGATGGCTTTGGGCCATCCTCAACTGCTTTCCAGGGCACAAGCAGGGAGCTGGATAGGAAGTGGGACCTCCAGGACACGAACTGGCACTCGTATGGGATGGTGGCACATGCAAGGTAAGGACTTTAGCCACTAGGTTACTGTGCCAGGCCCAAAAGTAAATAAATCTTTAAAAAAGGGGGGGGGGGACCTTTGATATTACCTAACACAGCATAAATACCATGTGAGTAATTGTTGAGCTGTTCCTGACCAGGGACAAAATCCATCCCTGCTGAGTCCAGATGTAGGAATGGTAGGCCTGGCTATATTTTCCATCCGGATAGTTGAATCCAAGGTTGTAGAACTCACAAACATGGAGGGCCTGGATTCTTTTTCCCCCTCCCCATGGTCACTTCCAGAGTGACTGACTCCACGTGCGCTTCCATCCCTTGTTGCTTTCCGTTCTAACAGATTCCTGCCTTTCATCCGCAGCCAGCATCCGCGGCCAGCTATCACATCTCCTTGCAGTTTCCTTGTAACTGCAGGGCATCACTCTCTACAAACATGCCTCGGGTTAATCCAGCCACTTTCTGCAGGTAGACTCTGGGTTCTTTACAGCTCTCTGTCACCATAAGGAGTGTTTACAAACAAAAGTCCCACAGAGCCAATGCCAAGGCATAACAATCTAAAATTCCGCCTGTGGTGCAGCCATCCCATAAAGCCACCAGTTTCAGTCCCAGCTGCTCCATTTCACACCCACCTCCCTGTTCATGGCCTGGGAAAGCAGCAGAGGACGGCCCAAAGCCTCAGGCCTCTGTACCCACATGGGAGACTCGGGAGAAGCTCCTGGCTCCTGGCTTCGAATTAGTTCATTTCCAGCTGTTGCAGCTATCTGGGGACTGAACCAGCGGATGGAATGTCTCATTTTCTCTCTCTCCTCTCTGGAACTGCATTTCAAATAAAAATAAATTCCCGCCCTCCCCCAAACAAATTCTCACACATATTTTCACATGTGACTCAGAATTGTGGCTGTGATTGCTGAAGTTGAAATTCTGCCCAATTTCCCTTCTCTGGAGAGGTACCATGTTAGAGTCAGACCAACAAATGTAGAAAAGGCTACACCCTACTGTGGCCACTTCTGGAAGGGAAGCGGGGCTGCCGGGATTAGAACCGGCGCCCATATGGGATCCCGGGCATGCAAGGCGAGGACCTTTAACCACTTGCGCCACCGCGCCGGGCCCTGTGGCCACTTCTAAGTGGCTCACTTCCAGCTCCTAGAAATGAAGTGTGATTGATGACAAAGTGATGGCAGAAAGACAGGGTTCTAACAGAACAGACTTTCTTCATTTACTTAGCAAATATTCACAGGATGCTCCCAACATGCCAGTCCTCTACATCCAGGAAGCACTGGGACTCACTGCTTTGGAGCGGCTGCCAAGAGGGCACAAGAGCTGAAACATCTCATGGGAAGCATTGGTTCAGGAGCACCTGAGCATGCAAGACAGCAGGGAGTCTAACCCTGATGCCGATGCCTCCTAAAAAAACTGACCTCCACCTGGGATAACAGGCGAGGCTTTAGAATTCATCTTGGGGGCCTGGCGTGGTAGCCTGGCGGTTCAAGTCCTGGTCTTGAACACCCGGGGACCCCAAATGGGTGTCAGTTATAATCTCGGCGGCCCCGATTCCCATCCAGCTCCTAGCCTGTGGCTGAGGAGAGCAGTTGAGGACAGCCCAAAGCCCTGGGACCCTACACCCACGTAGGAGACCTGGAGAAAGCTTTGGGCTCCTGGCTTCGGATCGGCTCAGCTCTGGCCTTTGCGGCCACTTGGGGAGTAAGTCAGTGGACAGAAGATCTTCCTCTCTGTCTCTCTTCCTCTTTATATATCTGAATTTTGCGATAAAAATAAATAATTTTTTAAATTCATCTTGGGTAACATCTTAGAAAACAGTGGCACGGTCAGCAGCGCTTGGAGGAGGCGGTGAGCTGCACACCCTAGAGACGGGCAGGGAGGCACCGAGGGCTCCAGGAGGGCACGGAGGGTGGCCTGGGCTGCGAGGCGGCCTTTCGTTGGGGCTCGGGGGCTATTTCCAGTGTGTAGCCCTCACGTCTGTGCATGGACCCGTTCCATCTCTCAGCTGAGTACATCTGGGAGATTCAGAATGTAGACACGTGAGACTTCGGGGAGAAACGCCATTCAACGCCCTCATTTAAGGAACCAGACAGAATGCGAAAAACACGGCAAAGGGCTACGCCCACCTGAGAAACAGAACACCAAGCGTACAGCCACAAAGACAAACCAGGACAGAGAGAACCCACAGACGACGCACGAGCGTGTGGATGAGATTTGGAGCGCTAAGGACAAAAACACGCTAAAGCTCTTGGTCAAAGAGAACGTCCCCAAATAAAGCACTGGTTGGGAACACCAGCCCTTCACGGTCCTGTGCCTCTGTCTTAAAGCAGGTTCCTATCGCGTCGTTTTCTTCTCCCTCCCAGGTACCCCGAGTTCCGACTCCCAGCGGGTATCTCGTATCCCGGCACCCCGACGGAAGAGACTACGTGTCCCCAAATTCACTGCGCGCCCAAGCGTCGAGCCCGCCGCTCGCCTACAACTCCCAGGGTGCAACGCGCCCCCTGGCCCAGCCCTGAGAGGGCGCGGGGCCGGGCGTCCTCGTCCCGGAGTGCCCACGCCCGGCTCACCTCGGAGCTGCGGGAGCCCTTCAGCACCTGCTTGGTGAGCGCGATCACGTCAGTGCCGCAGGTGTTCACCTTCTCCGTGAGCAGGCCCTTCACGGACTGACCGAATCGCGCCTGCGGATCGGGCGTTCCAGCCGCCATCGCCTCCGCTTGGGAACGCCTCCGCCGGAGCGACGGCGAGCGCGGGGTCCAAAAGAGGCCAGAGCGGAAGGCGAAGAGGACGTTCCCTACCGTGGGAAAAGGGGCGCCTGCGCCCTTCGGACGTTCGTTTTTGCTACCTACAAATTGACTTAAAACACTCAGTAGACACCGTGAGGAGTACGGGCCGAGACGCAGGTCGGTGAGGGGGATGGAAGAAAATCTGGATGACAGTCTCGGTTGTACTATTATCATTTGTGTGGTCGGTCCTTATGAGCACGACAGAAACCATAAAGTTATTAGTGAAATAAAAGCAGTAATGGAAAAGGAGCTAGGCGGTTAGGAGAATGAGTTCAGATTCTCTAGTCATTTCACGAGCTAAATATCAGCATGGAAATACAGAAAGAAAGAAGGTGCAGCCCTCTCCGGGAGCTTCCACTGAAGAAACAGTGTTGCAGCCACGTGAATTAGCAAAAAATGACCTGATGCGAAAATTAACATAACACGTGCGCATGATTCGAAGGGAGAAGAAATGCAAATAGTCAATAAAAGAATGACCAATACAGGTAAAAAATGTGCCACACCCATGACTCATTTTTAATAGTAACATTAACCTCTTCAACCTATTCAAACCAAACTCAGAGTCACCACGGAGCTGAACAAACATGTAACATATTTGGGTGGCTTCATTTCCCTGCTTCGGAGATAGCCAGCTTCCTCCTGAGTTGCAGAAAGAGAGACAGAGAAGGTCTTCCTTCTGCTAGTTCACTCTCTAAATGGCCCCAACAGCCAAAACTGACCTGATCTGAAGCCAGGAGCCTGGGGCTTCTTCCAGGTCTCCCACAGTGGTGTAGGGGCCCAAAGCCTTGGACTATCCTCCGCTGCTTTCCCAGGTCATAAGCAGGGAGTGGGATCAGAGTGGAACAGCTAGTTCGTGAATCAGTGCCCATATGGGATGCTTGCGCTTCAAGTTAGAGGCCAGAGCCAGTATACTTTTTAATTTTATTTTTAACATTGTTTGCATAGCTGAGAGGGATACATGCCCATTAAGGGCTCTGATTAGGGCGGGGAGGGCCAGGTGGCCCTGATTACAGAGAAGGAAGGTGGGTGGGACACAGGTTTCAGCCTTTTTTTTTTTCTCCTGTGTCCATATGGGCGGAGGGAGAGAGGCCACTACTTGCAGTCAAACTACGTCAGCACCTGGGGATGGGGGAAGGTTCTTTGATGATGCCTTAGAGAACCCCAATGTGGGGAAGAGTGTTCCTAAAGGGTTAAGTGGTTTTGATAGTTGTGACATGTCATCATCTTCATTGCACCAGGGCTCAGAAAATCTTTCCAAGGTCTATTGGCTGACAAAGTCCACCCTAATGCCCAGGAATATATTGCAAAACTTTGCCAGGAGAGTAGTCCAACGTGTTCTGCTTTCCATCCTCTGGTGAGGCAACTTGACATCCTCTGCTGGTCTAGATGAGCTGGTCTTCAAGACCCCCATATGCATCTGGACATGCTGTCCACAGCGCAGGCATCGCAACTCAAGAGGCCCAGTCCTAATATATGCACTTCAAGGTTTGTACCACATATATTGTGATTTTCCCTGTGGTCCAGGTCTGTGGCCTTCCAGTCAGGGAGTCCCCCAGGAAACCCTGCCTTAGGTGACCTCAGACTTGACTCATATGCACCATCCAGTACAGGGCCAGGTGCTATCTGTCACCCGCACCAGCCAGTGCACATACTGCTGGGTGCAGCTGCCTTGACAGTTGTGCCTCAACCCCATAAATGCAAGCCAAGAGGTGCTGCAGCCCAGCCCAGCCAGCCTGCCACAGACCCAGTCCTCACACATACACGTGACTGCCACTTCCTAGTCTGGGTGTCCCCTAACAGCCCCGACCAGGCCTACATACAGACCTGGTTTTTTGTATGCCAGCCTCTGTTGCGAACTAGCCTGGCTTAACACACATCACCTCCAGCTCTCATGCATACCCATGGGTTCTGCAACTTAGCTCAGCCCAATCCGCCATCAGACATGGCCCTCACACATGCCAAAAGGTGCTATTTCCTTGTCCAGCCTGACTCACCCCCAGCCCTGGTTCCTATGCTCATTGGTGGGAACTACAGTCTAGCAGGGGCATTTCTCAGTGCTGGACCTTCTACCTGCCAGTGGGTACTGCAGTCCCACCTGACGTGCCTTGTACCCAGTCCTAGCACTTGCCAGCTGGTGCTACAGCCTAGCTCGGCTGCCCTTCATCCATATTGGCTTTTATGTACATCAGTGGGTATACCATCCCAGCCCATCCTGGCTCACCCCCAGACCAGCTCGCTCCCAGTCCCAGGTCTCATGCTTACCAGTGGAAGCAAAGGCCAGCAAGGCAGTCCTCAAAGTTCCACTACCAAGCCCACTCCCAGCCCTGGATCTTGCATATGCTAGCAAGTGCTACAGCCCATTCTGAGATTGTCAGCCTCTAGTTCTGGCACTCACCAGTGGGTACTCCAGCCTAGCCAATTCTGACTCTCAGTGATGGGTGCTACAGCCTAGCCCCGTCTGGCCCACCCCCAGACTTGGTTTAATATGACTTGACATATGACAGCTGCTGGAACCTAGCTTGGTCAAGGCCATACCCATTCTGACTTTTGCAAGCACCTGTAGGGGTTGGAGCCCTATCCAGTTTGACGCACCCTGAGACCCAGCCCACACGCATGCAAATGAGTGCTGCTACTTTGCCCAGTTTGTCCGCCTACAGCCCTGGCCCTCACTCACCAGTGAGTGTCTCCAACCAATCAGAAGAGTCCTAAGAATTCCCTTACCAGGGCCATTCCCAGCCCCAAGGCTTGAGTGTGCTGGTGGGTGCTTCAATCTAGCCTGGCAAGGCCTCCTACGGTTTCAGCTCTTGCTGCCAAGTATTGCAGCGCAGGCCAGCTGGGTATGATATAGACCCATGCATGCCAGTGGGTGCAAAGTCTTGACCCAGCCCCTTGTGTCCCCAGACCCAGCACACAGAAATGCTGAGGAGTGCTGCAGCCTGGTCTAGCCTGGCCCACCACCAGCTCTAGCTCCCATACTCCCCAGAGGGAGCTGTAGACTGTTCCCCCACCAGACCTGCTTCCAGTCCCAGACGCTGGAACAGTCGGGTGAATTCCTGTCAGGTTAGTTCCGTGCTCCAGCCTGGCTCAGCGCATCACCACCCCAGTTATCTGTGTAATCCAACAGGTGTTGCAGTCCCATGGGGGCAAGCCCACAATTTCCCCTGCTGAATCTGTCCCCCAGATCCGGTTCTGTCACTTTCTGGTGAGTGCTGTAGCCCTGACATGGCCCACCCCATTTGACATTCATGAGCAGGTACTGCGTCCTAGCCCAGCCAGGCATCCACACACAGCCCCAGCATTTGTAAGCACCAGCAGGCAGCAGGACTCTCATGTGGCAGGGGCCTGCGATGACCCAGACATGCATTCCATTTTTCCCTTTCATATTCACTCTGTCTCAGCTCCCTTGCAATACCTGCAAGTACAATGGCCTAGTCCATGGAAAAACCCAGAAACTCCTTTCCTGTCAGGCATACCCTCAGTCACTCCCACTCTAGCAAACCTGAGATGCCTTCTCTCCGGACAATCTGGCACACCCCCAACCCCATAGCAATTTCAGCCTGGAATTCCCTGCCTTCCCACTTAAAAAATAATAATAATAAGCAACTCTATTGGCATACTGATATAGTTAATGGCATTGGCACTGACCAGACCCAGAATACCCACCAGCTATTGACTGCTTTTCTCCCAGCACTGTACAAGGCAACCTAGGCACTTGCCTACAGCTGGGAGCCAGCATACTTTTACAATAAATTAATTTCGTATAGTCCAGTTACTTGGGCCCCTGACAAGGTAACTGAAGACCTAGATGGAGAGTTCCTTTCTCTTGGCTTCAGCCTGAACTACTACAGGTCATTTGAGCTATTTGGGGAACAAATCAGAAAATGGAATTTTCTCTCTCTCTCTCACTCTTGCTCTCCCATTGTGCCTCCCAAATACATTTTGCCAACAAAAAACACTACTTTGGGTCAGTGTAGCAGGCTAGTCCTCTGACTGTGTTACCAGCATTGCATAAGGATGCTGGTTCATGTCCCAGTGCTCCACTTCTATCTAGCTCCCTGCTGATGACTGGGAAAATAACAGAGGATAGCCCAAACCTTTGGACCCTGACACATGTAGGAAACCCAGAAGATGCTCCTGGTTCCTGGCTTTAGATAGGCTAAGTGCTGGCCATTGTGGTCATTTGAGGAGTGAACCAGCAGATGAAAATCTTTCTGTCTCTCCTTGTCTCTGGAAAGCTCCCATTTCAATATAAGTAAGTAAATAATAAATAAATAAGAAGGAAGGAAGAGAAAGAGGGAGAGGAAGAAAGGAAGGAAGGAAGGAGGGAGGGAGGGAGGGAAGGAAAGAAGGAAGGAAGGAAGAAAGCAAGCAAGCAAGCAAAGGGAAGCCTAAGGCCTTCACCTAGGCTTTTCTGAGTGTTTAACTTTTTTAAGGCAAGCCAAGAAGGGTGTGGGCCAAGCCCAGCTGAGCTAGGCTAGAACATCCATCAAAGAACTGAGACTATAGGTGGACCATGCCAGACTGATTTGAAGCATGGTCCAGCATAGGCAAGATCTGGGGTTTGGAAAGGGCCTGGAAACTCTGTGGACTCCCCTGCTAGGCTGCAGCTCCCACTAGTGAATATGAGACTCAGAGCTGGGCATAGACAGGGCTGGGCTAGGATGAGCACTCACTGATGCCTCAAGTACCAGAATGGGTGTGGACAGGCTGTGCTAGGCCACAGAACCCACTGCTTCACATGAGAGTCCGGACTGGTGTTGGGCCAGGTTGTGCTGGGCCAAGAGTTGGAATGGGTGTGAACCAGTCAGGCTAGGCCACAGTACCCACTGGTGAGTGCTAGGACTGGGAACAAGCCATGTCAAGCTGGGCCACACCACCTGCTTGTATACTTAAGACCCAGAGCTGGGAGAAAAACTGGTAGGAGAACTTTGGGGACTCCTTGCTGGGCTGCTGCTTCCACTGAGGTGTGAGAAGTATGAATGGGGTGGGAAAGTTTGAGGGCTGTGCCAGGCTTGGCTAGGTTGCCACACTCACTGGCAAGTGCTTAGGTTCAGAGTGTGTCATGTCAGGCTGGATCATACTATTTTCTGGCAGACACAAGATTCAGGACTGGGAATGGGCTTGGGAGGGGGACTGTGGGCATTCCGATGCTAGGCTGCAGCTCCCACTAATAATCGCAAGAGCCAGGGGTGGGGGCGGGCCAGACTGCTCAAGGCAGCAACACCATCAGCATGTGTGGGCTGATTCTGGGGGTGTGCTGGGCTAAGCTAAGCTGCAACACCAATGGGTGTACACAAGAGCCAGATGGAATGAGTAACAGACTGTGCTAGGCTGCACACATGCCATCCATGCAAAAACAAAGACTACGGATGGAACTCTTGGAGGTTGTTGCAGGTCAACCCACTAGGCTATAGCACCTGTCTGTGTGCATGAAGACTGGGCCTGTGGTAGGTTGGGCTGTGGCAAGCTGGGCTGGCCTAGGTACCATTAGTTCTGATGAGAAATGGGG